AAAACAAAACAGTATAAAACTAATACCCAAGTTCAGGGAAAATGAACCAGGAGAACTGGTCAATTGCTGGAAATTACCACAAGGGTGTGTAGGGTGGAATATTTTCAAAGATAGAGGAGGGTTCATTATGACATAGTTGGAAATGATCACTCTGTACAAGAACTGAGTGTTGAAAGTAGGTAAAGGGATATACATAAAAACTTTCAGCATCTGTATTGCCACCATAATATCTAAAATGAGAGAGAGAGAGAGAGAGAGAGAGAGAGAGAGAGAGAGGGAGGGAGGAGAGGTGCCTGCCATAGAGCAAATGGCGGAGGGGAGGGTGGGGAAATTGGGGGCATTGGTATTGGGCTGGAGCGATAGCACAGCGGTAGGGCGTTTGCCTTACAAGCAGCCAATTACGGTTGACCCAAGTTCGATTCCTCCGCCCCTCTCGGAGAGCCCAGCAAGCTACCGAGAGTATCTCGCCCGCACGACAGAGCCTGGCAAGCTACCCATAATGTATTCGATATGACAAACACAGTAACAACAAGTCTCATGATGGAGACGTTACTGGGCCCACTCGAGCAAATCGATGAACAATGGGAGGACCGTGACCAGTATTGGGAAATTAAACTGGTGGAGGGATGGGTTTTAGACCCTTGTATGACTGAAACCCAAACATGAACAGCTTTGTAATTCTCTATCTCACGGTGATTCGGTAAGGTAAAAAAAAAAATTCTAAAGACACAGTAAAGAAAAATTTTCAAATCACAAAGATATCGTCATTGGTGACATTTCTATGGTGGGGTATAGGCACTCCTATGACCTTCTAGATCACTAAAACTGACATCAAGCCCAAAATGCCCTGATAAAATTCTAAGAAGTAGTCTACTCATAATCATTTATGTGCCTTGTATTCCAGCTAGAATGCTGTTTTAGATAAAAAGTGAAATTTTCTAATAGTTACAAAGAATAAATATATTTCTAAAATACATAACACAGATTTCTTGGAATTTTCACAAACTAGAATTTTAATTAGCTGCAATCTGTATAATAGGGATGGGAAACCTTTTTTTTTCTGCCAAGGTCCATCTGAATATTAATAGCATCATTCATGGGCTATATACTATAGGCAGATGGGCCAAGGGTGACTGACAAAAACCATATGTATCTGTGCTTGTCATGTGGAACAGACCGCATGACTCTGATGGGCATTACACAGACTGGACATTCCCCACCCCTGCTTTGTAATAAAGGAAATGTGTTAACTAAATACGATTGCTGATTACCACTTAAAATGATTAGAAACAAAATCAAAATCTGGAGCGATAGCACAGCGGGTAGGGCGTTTGCCTTGCACGCAGCCAACATGGCCGACCCAAGTTCGATTCCTCTGCCCCTCTCGGAGAGCCCGACAAGCTATCGAGAGTATTCGATATGCCAGATACAGTAACAACAAAGTCTCCAATGGAGACGTTACTGGGCCCGCTCGAGCAAATCAATGATCAACGGGAGGGCCTTTACTTTAATTTACTTACTTTTTTAACTAATGAATTCTGGAGAACCAGTACAACATTTTTAAGAGCTCATTCCACAGTCAAGAAGAAGAATAGAATACTAAAGACAAAATAATTTTTAAAAACCATTAAGGCTCTTAAAACAAAAATTGCATAATTGCTATTTGCAAAGTTAATGCTTTTTAAATGTCAACAAGGCAGAGGGGTAGTCAAACAAATAGGAGAAATCTCACTTATTAGAGACAAGTATTAAGACACACCTCATTTTTAAACTTCTTTCAGGAGAATTGAAAACAGACACCAGGACTAGAGAGACAGTAGAGGCGGTAAGGAGCTTGCTGTTAACGCAACTTACCCAGTTTGATGCCCAGTGTAGCATATGGTCCCTGACAACCACTATGAGTGACCCCTGAGCATAGAACCAGAAGTAGCCCTGAGCACCACCACAGCCAGAAAAAACAAAAACAAAACAAGCAGCAACATAACATCAATGGACTGCAATGACTTTTGTTAACACCTGTTCTTAACAATCTTAAATGCCGTTAAAAATTTTTAAAAAATGTTGAAGACTTGTAGGTAACTTTTTTTTATTTAAAAGAGCCTTTATTCTAAAAGAATGATCGATTTCAAAGTAATACCAGGTAGACAGAATGACTCCTCGATATCTAAAAGCCATACACAGCAGTAAGGAGAGCTCTGAACTCAGAAGAGTAAATTTCCCTGCAACAGAACAAGGCTTCATAGGTATACCTAGTTATTCACCTATGATGAGAACATGGCTGATGGGACAGTCTTCAAACAAGAAGCAGTTTTAGAACTTTTACCAAGATGCGCCTGAGTGACAGCATGAGACATTGTCCACAAACAGCCAACCCAGGTTATATCCTTGTCACCACATGTGGTCCCCAGAGCCCCATCAAGAATGATTCCAGAGCACAGAGCCAGGAGTAAACCCTGAGCACTGCTGGTGTGGCCCAAAAACCAAAAACAAAAAAAAAAAAATACGTAGAATTTTTATCTAGAAAGAAATGAGAAATGGCAGATATAAAATAAAGACCTTGCAACTGTTTCAGATTTTGATAACAAATTACTCATACAACAATAGCAGAAAATTAGTTTTAACTGATTTTGCCAATGGTAACATTAAGAGTGGAATATGTGCTGGGCACTGTTGTCAAATATGTTAACTTGCTTAATGAAGTCATTTAATAATTTCCATTTGAGGATCTAATGACAAGCTGTATAATATAAACTTACCTACCTATTAATTATTCAGAAACCCCTCTCTCTCTTCCTCTCCCCACCCTTTCTTTCTCTCTGCCAATAAGCAAGCAAAAACAGACATCGCCATATTCAGGTGCCAGTCGTCTTCCATGGTTCACTCACGCACAGAACAATAGAGGGGACGGTACTGAATCTGAAACCAGAAAGTTCAGGGCTGGGCAGATGCAAAAACCCAATGAACAGCCTGAGAAAGGTCATTCAGCTGTCCCAGTTACCTCATTATAACCTAGTGACTTATCTGATAGCTCAGGATAGTAAATCCTATAGGACAAAATCCTGATGTACATTATTGTACAGCCACCCCCTCACCCCCAGAAGGGAAGAGTTTATAAATCAGTGCATGTGCTCCCTCATAATGATAAGCTTCAATCATTGAGAAGTTTAAATGACATCTCATTGATTTCCAGGAAGAAGTGAAATTTCAAAAACTCATCTTAGGGGCAGAAGCAATAGCACAGTGGAGAGGACGTTTGCCTTGCACACAGCCAACCTGGGTTCGATCCCCGGCACCCCATATGGTCCCCTGAGCACTGCCAGGAGTCATTCCTGGGTGCAGAATCAGGAGTACCTCTGAGCATTGCCGGGTGTGACCCAAAAGGCCAAAACAAGACAACAACAAAAAATAACTCATCTTAAACAGCTGGATCCACTGTTAACATTCAAATAAAAGTTAGGTTTAAAATAAAAATCTGCAGATCTCTGGACAAACCGATTATTGAAGATCTTCGAATGAGAAACTGAAATTTCAGGAAATGCAGAACTCCCTGAGAGTGGGCCAAGTCATCGTGACCCTGGACCTCCTGAGGCCACAGGCAAGGTAGAAAACAGGGGCCTGGAAGCTGGGACCCCATTAAAGCGCCCTCTAGAAAACAGAAGCACTCAACTTTATAGAGATGCAGAGTGGGACAATTCTGAAGGGGTTCTGAGGGTCAGCAACCAGTACCCAGGTATTATGGGAAGAGTGTGAACGTTTATCTCAATTTTAAGTACGTGGAACTTTCGCCATCTGCAAGCCGGTTCTCCTTTGGAAACTGCCCTCCACCAAATTCAAGACAGACAGGGAATAAATGCAAACTGGGGGGGGGGGGCGTGGGGGGGATAAAGGGCGACCCTGATAAAACTCTGACATCAGACAGGAGAGCCAAGCGTGAGATTTAACTTTGAATATGCGCTTGCTGGATAAAGTCAGTTCCTCTGTTAAAACAAAACCAAACCCACTCTGGGAGCCAAGTGGTTGGGGGTCTGGGGCTTTTATTGACATTTAAGACCCAGAGTGCTACAGTGGCTGGCGGGGAATTCTTTCTCTCTGGAGCTGAAAGTGGCTTTTCACATTGTGAAAGAGAAAAGAGATGGACCGAATGGAGTTTTAACACCTCTCCACTGAAAAACTTTCGGGCAGGGGCCCAGTCACTCACTGCTCTTCCACTCAAGGGTGGCTTCTGAGTCAACTCCGATTGCACAAGGCTCCCCAGAGTCGCCCCCTCCAAAGAGGCACGCCTGCAACAGCAGCACCTGAGCTCAGTTCAGAATGAAAGAAAGGGGAATCGCCAGCAAACTTCGTATTCCCTGTCACTGCCAGGCTGGCCTTGTTCCTTCTCCCAGGGTAGTAAGAAAGCTGTAAACACAAGCCCTGAGCTTGCCAACTGGCCGCAAACTCTCCGGGCGCCTGGGAGGGGGGCCGCCGCCGTGCGCTGCTTCCTTTTTCTCCTTTCCTCCAAGTGTCAGCGCTTCCCGCACAGATAACGGTCCCCGCAAAGCCCTCCACTCCCTAGCGTCCTCGTTCGGGGCACGGTTCCTCTTTCCATGAAACCAGAGGGTGCGCCCGACTCAGCAGAACAGGCTGGAGGCACGCTCACCCCACCATCTCCTCTCCTTCCTCTCCGACGCTGACTCTAAGAGAGCGAGCCCACGTTCCTTTTGTTGTCCGGCACGAAAGTGGGTGAAGGGCATCCCCCCGCCCCCGCCCCAAGACATCCTGGCAGCATCTGAGCTCAGGGTTGTAGCTTGGGGGGGGGGGGGGGTGGAGGAGGGAGAGGATAACAAAACGAAAACGTTCCGAGTCAAGGTAGAAAAGAGCAAGGGGTCCCCTAAACGCAGAAGGCTGTGCGCCCGGGCGGCGGAGCGCACCTAGATGTTTGCATTCACACAAAGAAATTAGCCGGGGTGATTAATGGGAGACGCGGGCTGGAGGCGGGGGCGCCCGCGCCGGCTCCTTACCTGGGACATCTGCGGCCTCAGGTTGATCTCCTTGAGGTTGATGGAGTGCGCCCGGAGGTTGTTGAGCAGCTGGCAGAGCAGGACCCCATCGCGGAGGGTCTGCGCCAGGTCGAACACCTGCGCCGAGTCCCAGGTCACCCGGTGGTTGGCGGGCAGCACCTTGCAGTGGATGAGCCACTGCGCGCACTGCCGCCACGGCTCCATGCCCGACGGCGCTGCGACTCGGCCCGGCCCGGGCAGGCGGCGACGCTGCGGCCGCCGCCGCGGTTCCTCCGCGCCCCGCCGACGCCGGCCGCGGCCCCGTCCCGGCTCGCGCGCGAGGGGGCGGGCGCCGCGCGGCGGGGCGGCCCGCGAGGCTGGCGAGGGGCTGGGGCTGCGGCTGGGGCTGCGGTCCCGGGTCCCGGCCCGGCCGCCGCCGCAGCTGGTCCCGCGCGCCCGCGCGCTCCGAGAGCCCCGGGCCGGCTTGTGACTCGCGAGCCGGGCGCCCGGCCACTGAGCATGCCCAGCTCGGCGGCCCGGCTGGCTGCCGTCGGCGAGTCCCCCAGGGGCGCGGGTGGGCGAGCGAGCGAGCGAGCGAGCGCGCGCCGCCGCCCAGGCTGGGGGTCGCGGAGGTGCGGGCGCAGCGCGGGGGTCCGCCCGCGGGGCTCCCGGCGCCCCCCGCCCGCCCGGGGACTCTGCGGAGGCGCCTCCCGGGGCTGCGGGGAAGCGGGGACTGAGCGCGGCCACCCGGCGACGTTCCTCCCAGGACGCCCGACACGGCGAGCTTCGGTCGCGCGAGGGTCTCCAGGGGCGCGACGGGCTAATTGGGGCGACCTGGGCTCGCCTGAGAATTGCAGGGAAATTAACAAGGCACGGAGCGCCTGGAGAGCCCCGCGCCGAAAGTTTTCCCGTTCTTCCCCCCAGCCCTTCTTCCTTGCTGTAGCATCCCCCACCCCCACCCCATCCCCCCGTCTTCTCCCGGCACAAGGTTGCAAAGCCTCTTTCTCCCACTCGGTAATTAGGGGGTGTGGGCAACTATTTAAAAAAAAAAAAACACAAAGTGTACGTGTGGCAGCCCCGGCTGCCACGCGCCCCTGTGCCCCATCCCCAGTGCGTTGGGGCGCGAGGTGCCAATTTTTCACTTAGGGACGCTTTTCCTGTGGACTCTCCGGCCAGGAACTGTTCCCCGGCGCAGTCCCGGCTCTTTTGCTGACCGCACAAAACCTGCATCGGAGAAATAGGGCTGAACCGCCCCCGGAGCCTCGGAGCTCGACTGCGCATGCGGCAGAGACTCCCGGGCCCCAGTTTGAAAGCCACTAACCAGCCCAGGCGGTGGAAGGTTCGGCGCCAGGACCTCACGTGCAAGGGGAACCCACCACCCCAGCCTGCTTGTGCTGCCCGAAGCGATGAGGTCATGCGTGTGTCTTAAATCTTTGGGAGTCCCACCCCCACCCCCACCCCAGCTCTGCCCACCTTTTGCTCCCAGAAACCGTTGTCCCTCGGGACCAAAACTGCTTTAAATGATGCGTAGCAAAATATTACCACACCGAACTGTTTCACGCTCAAACTGGTCCTGAATGTTCCTTTCGAGGTGTATTGACAATCTGAAACGTCATGCAATGATTTTTTTTTTAAAAAGTAACTTAATTTTTTTTTAATTTGAAATAGAACATTTGAGTCAGGGAGGGGGAGAAATCCAGTTGATGGGATTTTAGAATTTGTTTTTAATCATGTTTCTGCAGCTGTAAACTTTTCTATTGTGACTCCTATTAATTTTTTAAGCAGGTGAAATGGTTGTGGTTTTTTTTTTTCCTCTAATTTTGTGTTCTGCTAAGAACAGGGCCTGTGTCTTTTTCCATTAGGACAGTGACAAGCATAGTGCACTGTGTATACTCAGCTTTAAACAATAAATCAGCTTGAGGATTTCCTTTCCTCACATGCATCCTTCCCCAGCAATTTCCTCTTGAGTTCAAGCCAGATTGCATCAGTGGCACGGGTTCCAAAACTGTAACTTTGGTAAGTAAATCACACTAAATGTTACATACCCTGGTCAGTACAAAATCCCAAATCTGACATGATGATGGGAATCACCACATAATACAAAATTCTGTATAACCCAGAAATTATACTGGAAAAGAAATCCCATGGAAAAGAATAGTTAACTAAAGATATGAATTCTGTTTAAGGTGACAAGTCATCCCTGGGTGTTGCCTGGTATTTCCAAATCCCAGATAATTCAAAGTGTAGCAGGAGGCAGACCCAAGTTTAGAGTCTGAGCACTGTTGCTAGCACTTTCTAGCAAGTGTAGCACTGTAGCACTGTCCTCTCGTTCATCGAGTTGCTGGAGCGGGCACCAGTAATGTCTCCGTTGTGAGACTTGTTACTGTTTTTGGCATATCGAATACGCCACGGTGAGCTTGCCACACTCTGCCATGTGAGCTGGATACTCTCCGTAGCTTGCCAGGCTCTCAGAGAGGGACAGAGGAGTCATCCCAGGTCGGCCACCTGCAAGGCAAACACCTTACCCTCTGTGCTATGGCTCCAGCCTTTCTAGCAACATAACCCTTTATTCTGTTAACCTTCAGTTTCTACATGTGTAAAAATGTAAGTTTACTTCATAGTGAGTCAGAATTAATGACCCAGTGCAGAGCTGTTGTAAAAGCAGTCTGTGGACTAGCAATATCACCCAGGAGCTTGTTTTTTTTAATTAATAAACAGGGTTGGAGCAATAGTACAGCGGGTAGTTTGTCTTGCACATAGCTGACCTGGATTCAATTCCCATATGGTTCCCATGCACCACTAGGAGTGGTTCCTGTTGCAGACTCAGGAGTAACCCCTGAGCACCACTGGGTGTGGCTAAAAAAATAATTAATTAATAAATGTACTCTTGACTCCCAGGCCCTACCCAAATGAATGGGCTGGAGCAATAGCACAGAGGGTAGGGCGTTTGCCTTGCAAGTGGCCAACATGGCCGACCTGAGTTTGATTCCTCCACCCCTCTTGGAGAGCCCAGCAAGCTACCGAGAGTATCTCGCCCGCACAGCAAAGCCTGGCAAGCTACCCGTGATGTATTCGATATGCCAAACTCAGTAACAACAAGTCTCACAATGGAGATGCTACAGTGCCCGCTGGAGCAAATCGATGAACAACGGGAGGACAGTGACAGTGACTCAAATGAATCAGAACCCACAGTTTAACAAAATCCTCAGGTGACTTGTATTTACATTCAAATTGAAGAGGCAATACTCATATAATGCATAAAATGCGTGGATCCTAACAATTAGCAAGAATTCACTACACATTAACCAATGGTTTTTTGTTGACAAAAAGGAGCAATGACAATGTTAGATCTGATAATTCACATAGTGATATATATGTCTATGTCTATGTCTATGTGATAAGACTTCAAAAGATCATGCTTCTCAAATACAGAGAACCAGAGTGAAGAGAAGAGCAGAAGGGAGCCATATGGAAGGTCTATAAAAGAAAATTAGTGGAAGAGCAAGGTTCTTCAAGTATTCCAGGAGCTAAGAATGTGGTTCTTCAAGTATTCCAGGAGCTAAGCTAAAGTGACAGGAACTGGGGCTGGAGCGAGAGAACAATGGGTAGGGCCTTTGCCTTGCACGAGACTGACCCGGGGTTCAATTCCCAGCATCCCACATGGTCCCCTGAGCACAGCCAGGAGTAATTACTGAGTTCAAAGCCAGGAGTAACCCCTGTGCATTGCCGGGTGTGACCTAAAAAACAAAACAAAACAAAAGTAGAAAATAAAGTGACAGAAACTGGAACCAGGCAAAAAATGTCAGTGAGTATTTCAGAGTCACAGTCACAGTACTTTTTTCTTATAATCTTATAAGTGGTGACCACAACCAGTTGGGAAATAAGGACTCAGTTTTATGAGTATCCATCCCTTGCTAGTTCAGGGCCTCTATTCCAATGAATACTTTCTTGTACTGATGAGGTAAGATTCAGAGGCTTCCTTCCATGCTCCATAGTCCCACTGGAGGACCACATTATCACCTGAGGCACATCCACACTCTACCATTTATTAATTGGTAAACAATGTGCCAAGAATTCAATTGTGCAACCAGAGTGATAGCACAGTTGGTAAGGCACTTGTCTTTTTCATGGCCAGCCTGCATTAGATTCCCCAGCCCCCAGGCAGGAGTGATCCCTGAGCACAGAGCCAGGAATAAGCCCTGAGCTCTGCCAGTTGTACCTCCCCCCGCCCCCCAGCTCCAAAAAGAAAAGAAGAAGAAAAAAAATTCTATTGAACAATTCACATAGAATATCTGAAAGTAGAGGGATTCCCTCCGTTCCCTCCCATAAATGAAGAAACAGAATCAAAGGCCTTAAGGGCCTTGCTACTAGTTGAGAAGGCCAGTCAGAGTGAGGTGAGTTTGTGATTCTGCATCTAAGCTGCTTCTAGTCACAGCTGCTCCCATCACAATAATTAACTTCACCAGCTTAATTGCTAGGTTGTCCTTTTTTTCTGCTAGAATGAAACACCTTGAAGGCAGGTGTGACAATGTTTATCTTTTCATTCCCAGAACCAGCCTTATTTCCTACTGCACAATAAAAGTCAGCGTGAGTGACTGTGTGAATGAATGATTGAGCAAACTAGCTATGTTGCCCCTGTTTACTCTCTCATCCCTCTCTTCCTGGAAATGAAGGGCAAGACCAGGTAGCTGTCATCAGTATTACCTCCATAGGCATAAGGGCCACATGAAGTGCCTTTCTTTCGTCTTCCTGCCTCTTGGTGTGTCTCTTATCTGCCCTTTGGGTCTCTCCTAACACGAACACTCCACCTTCTGTTTCCCACGTGCCTTGAGATTTTTTCTTTTCTCAACCCTATACAGATTTTTTAAAATGGAAAATATGACAGATGTTATCCTGAACTGCAGAAAACATTAAAAATGATGGGTGTCACATGCTAGGTCTCATACCATATACTAAATTATACCTATAATAAGAAAAGTACACATTGGTGAATTCACTAGATACACAGCCATTGTGCTAAAAACAAAGAAAGTAAAAGAGTGTTTCATAAATTACTTGCTAAATCTGTTGTTGTTGTTTTTGTTTTGAGTCACACCCCTCTGTGCTCAAGGTTTACTCTAGCTCTGTGCTCAGGTGTCATTACTGACAGAACTCAGGGAACCCGGAGGAGTGCCAGGGATTGAACCTGGTCATATACAAGGCAAACACTATATTATTTCTCCAGAGTCTTCTGTTGAACTCTTACCAAATTTTTCTTTAATTCCTAAAATTCTTT